CTCATCATTCAAGGATATGTACAGGATCAAATTAATAAATATTTATCCAGAAAAAGGAAGAAAGACAATCAGAGAAAAAGACACCAAAGAGAGACAATTAACTGAGGAGAGAAACTCACAAGAATAAATAATTGGTCAGAAAGAAAAGTCCCAGTGGAAGAAGGCAGTTGATGACAAACCTGTTCTTGTTCCAAGAACTTCTGGGTCTGGGAAAATCAATTGTTTGGTGAATTGAGAGAGTGCACCTTCTGAAGCACATACAACCCCCCCAAAACCTCACTGGAACCTCCCTTTGAAATACTTTCACCTCTGGGTCATTGCACTTTTTCTTGGCCAATTCAGATTGACATGTATTCTTTTGCCACCAATGCTGCAGTGATTTGGGTGGCTGCTCAACTAGTGAGCCCAAATTGGTACTCTGACCTCCTTCTCAAAGTAATTCACCACTAGGTCAATAGCTTTTTTGGGGCATCCTTTGAACACATTGCTTTATTTTTCCTTCTCCTTATCAAGATAGGCAGATGCCCTACAAATTATATGCTCTTACTAGCCCCTATCTCACAAATCAATTTCAACCTGGAGGAATCAGTTATCCACGTAGAATCTAAGTCCACTACCTACTTCATCTTACTGACTCATTTGTGATTTTTATGGCTTAAACTTTTAATTGGTTGCTTGCCATATCATGGAGAATTAATATTTCTGTATTGATACAGCTTAATTTTCTATCTGGTTGCAGTTCATAACATGGAAATTTAAAATTAAATAGTCCCAATCCATCAACACATCATGCAAAATCACAATTGCACAGTCTAGATACATCAACCAGCCACATTTTTTGGATTATTTTTCTACCTGGGCTGGATCAAAGTCTACCTCAGTAAATAATTTTCAAAAAATCAGGCAAAGGCCCAATGACCAATGGTCTACCTGGTCTACCTGTCCCCTATACGAGGTAGACAGGTAGACACCATTCGGCGCCCATACGCCCGATGAAAACACTAGGGAAGGTATCTATTGTGTGTTTTTTTTCTGGGTAAGTTTCAGCTTAAGTGATTTCATATTTGCTTGTTGAATTAAGCATTGACAATGGTTTTTCGGCTCATGAAGGTCTTCTCGACACAATCAAGACGAGGAAGATTGGCTTGTTGTTACCTCCCTTAATCCCGAGGTCCAGGGTGGAGTTTTGATTTGAGGTTCTAAGGATTCATCATATGTTGGGGATTCTCACTCTGCTATCGAAAGGTCCATGTGTCTCAACGACCAGATTGATCTTCTGTGAGTGCCTCCTCTGGCCAATTGGGGGACCTGGACATGGGGCATGAGGATTGTAAGACTGATGGACTGGGTTGTTTGTATCAGTTTAGCACATTTCTGCATATAGCTCTGTGATTTTTTGTAGAATATTTTGACTATTGGTCTGGGGCTGTTAGTAATGATTTGGTTTTGTGAGGTGTCCTTTGCAATTGGCACTGCCTTTGGGGAAGTTCTTGATTTTGTTCTTATCAATCATCTATGAATAGGTACAGGATTGCAAATCAATTGTAACCTACCACAGACTGGATTCTCAGTGAGTAACAGCTGTCATCATGCCAACCTGGGTTAATTTTTTTGACTTCCAGGCCTGGTACACTTGACTTGTCTGCAAATGAATAGAAGCTGTTTTCCATCCACTTGAAGTGCCACCCACATACTTGAAGCTCAGTGAGTGCCTCCTTTCACGGTGAGGTAAAGGTGGAAACTGTGGCTGTTTATCATTTACATTTCAAAATTGGTGTCACATACAGTAAAGAAAGTTTTTGTTGAGTACCTCCCTCCACCTTGAGGTCATGGGGAACTTCTTTATTGATTTCTTTGGACTTTGAAGAGGTGTTGCTGACTTGGCTTGTGTGTTTTATGAAATGACCTCTTTGCTCCCCTGTGACTTCACCTGTGTTTTTTAAGAATGCCCCATTGGCCCTGTCTTTCTTTCCTGCAGATTCACCCACAGCAAACAGTAATCTCAGTGAGTACCTCTTTCCAGCTGGAGGTCAAGGGGAAAATTCTGGTTCTATTTCATGTGATTTCTGTGGGATTGATGCTGAATTGTCTTCTGTGCTCTATAAAAATAACCGTCTTCAGGTACTGCCTCCGGCCATCAAGGTCTTGTGTATAAAAGGGCATCTTGTCAACTGTTGTTGTTATATTGATAGTCACCCAAAGGAAAAAAGAATTTCAGTGAGTAACTCCCTTCATCTTGAGGGCACGTGACAAATTCTGATTTGGTTTCATTTGGATTGTGTTGAACTTTGACTGACCAGGCTCTGTTGTCTATATAAGGGCCACCTTTCTGCGCCTGATTTGTCAACACCAAACCTCACCTTTGGTAAGTACCTCCTTTCATCACTAGGTCATGGGTGAAATCTGGCTGTCAATTGCCCCTGACTGGGCTTCTCTTGTTTTCCCCTGCAGGGTCATCCTGAGGAAACATCAAACTTGGTGAGTACCTCCTTTCAGCTTGAGGTCAAGTGATGAATTCTGTTATTGTTTCTTGGTGACTTTTAGAGGTTTTGTGCTGACTGGAACTTTCTTTTCCATATAAAGGCTTCCTCCGCCCCTGTTGCTTCACCTGCAAGCCTCTATTTCTGTGAGTACCTCCCTTCATCACTGGGTGAAGGGTGAAATCTGGCTGTCCAGCTGACTTGTCATCTGTTGTCTATAAAGGGCCCTGACTTGGCATCTATTGTCCATAAAAGGCCCTTGTTCTCCCCTGTAGAGTCACCCACAGGAACTATCAATCTCTGTGAGTACCTCCCCTCAGCTTGAGGTCAAGTAATAAATTCTGCTGTTGGTTGTTTGTAATTTTGGATTATATGTTGCTGACTGGACCTCCCTTTGCTATACAAAGACCTCCTTGTTCTCCCCTGTAGAGTCACCCACAGGAACCATCAAGCTCTGTGAGTACCTCCACTCAGCTTGAGGTCAAGCTATAAATTCTGGTTTGGTTTCTGTGTAATTTTGCAGGATTTGTTGCTGACTGGACCTCCCTTTGCTATATAAAGACCTCCTTGTTCTCCCCTGTAGAGTCACCCACAGGAACCATCAATCTCTGTGAGTACCTCCACTCAGCTAGAGGTCAAGTAATAAATTCTGCTGTTGTTTGTTTGTAATTTTGGATGATTTGTTGCTGACTGGACCTCCCTTTGCTATATAAAGACCTCCTTGTTCTCCCCTGTAGAGTCACCCACAGGAACGATCAATCTCTGTGAGTACCTCCACTCAGCTAGAGGTCAAGCAATAAATTCTGGTTTGGTTTTGGTGTAATTTTGGAGGATTTGTTGCTGACTGGACCTCCCTTTTCTATATAAAGACCTCCTTGTTCTTCCCTGTAGAGTCACCCACAGGAACCGTCAATCTCTGTGAGTACTTCCCTTCAACTTGAGGTCAAGTGGTCAATTCTGCTTTAGTTTCTTTAAAATTTTGGGTGGTTTGCTACTGACTGCACCTCCTTTGTCTATATAAAGGCCTCCTAGGCCCCTGTTGCTTCACTGGGAAACCTCCTTTTCAGTGAGTACCTCCCTTCAGCCCTAGTTCAAGGCAGCGGCTCGGCTTGCACTCTCTCAATTTGTCAGCCTTAGAGCCAGCCAAGCTGGCCAAAAGACTGCTTAAGTCATCCTTTTCAGCTATGTTCCTACTGTAACTTTTTATCTCTTGATCTTATTACATTCTGACTTCAGAAATGAATTCCTCATGTTATTCCAACCTTAGTCACCACTACACACTTTTACACTACTCTTCTCCTTCATAGACTTTGTAATATTTCACCGTACCTTGTGAAATATCAACCAAGTTGGAATTCCAACTCTCTACCACATGTACATGTTGTGATTATGTAATCCAACTCTGAAAATTCTCTCAGAGTATACTGAGTTCGCATTTTCAGGATCTTCAAGCTTCAGACCCACCCAGAACCAACTCAGACCAGAAATCACCAACCTCAACTTGGATACTTCACCGCCGCATCATCGCCGTGTTATCGTTTGGAGTCCCTTAACTATTGGAATCTTCCCACTCATCGTGTCAGGATCACCAATAAGTAAGTCACTCCACAAGTTCAGCTTGCATCTTTCTGCTAAGTTCTTTCTCTGTCTCTCTGAATGATTGCTTCATTCTGTTTCTACTAAACCTCTGCCTTAAACTTCATCACATCCAAATCAAGTCATCATAAGTCATCATTATTATCTGTTTGGTGGTACAACTGAAAACCACATAGGTTTCCCTTTAAAGAGCCTTGATCTTTGATCTAAAAAATTGAGGTTGGATTGATATATCAATACCAAGTTCCCTATTCAGTTTCAGTTGATAGGAGGCGTAGATTAATTCCGCTTAAATAACAGCCATCCTTCTAAGGAAAGTAAGACTTTATAAAAACTTGATCATAAAATAAATAAACAATAAGAATATTATTCATTTCATTCTCTTCCAGCTTCTCTCTCTCCCTTTCTCTTATTCTAGTTGTATTTCTTTATCCATCTGAAATACATCTAGAATTGCCCCCATACCTTGTGTCCTGCCGTCACTTTTGAGACCCAGGCTCACACAATTTCTGTGGCCTGGTTTCGCTGATCCTGTCTGTGCTGTTTGCTACATTATCTCACACACAGTCTCTGCAAATATCTCTGTCCCAACCTCTTGAATAGTCTGATCTATGTGCTCTAGTGAATTATCTTTTTTCTGTAAGTGATTGCCTTGTCTTTGGCTTTTTTCTTGCAGAGTCATTTTTCATGGGTGACCTCCCTTGGACCTGAGGTGGGGTGTGAATTTGGATTTGGACTAACTGTTGATGTTGGCTGTTATTTCATATGAACAGATATTGTCAACAACTCTCTCCTTCCCCTCTTGAAAATCCTTTATTCTGGTAAGTACCTCCCTTTGACTTGAGGTCTATGTGAGATTGGTACTTTGCTGAAGATCAAAGTACTTTATTGTCATTGGTTTTTTGGTAGTTACAAAACTCAACAATGGTATCAACAAACACCGCCGATGGATTCACGGTCCCTAGCCCTAGGAGATCTGCGTGTTTGGCAACCGTGGAGCCTCTGAGCCCACAAAAGAAGAAACCGATGAGTCCTACGGAGAAGAGGGCTCATGACTTGAGGAACACACCTCGCGAGGACATGGACTTGGACGTGGACGTTGCGGACAAGGACAATACGGCTGCGGTTGGGACGAACGGGAGGGAAGCTCGTGAGATGGACTTGGATGGACCTACTCAAAATTTAAGTCTGTTTTTTTTTGGCTCATTGAATGAGATTTCTTGGCTTATTCAGTGGCTGCTCATCATCTTTCTCTCCAGCTGTCTGGGCAGGTTGGTCTCACCAACTTCCTGGGTGTAGGTACCCAGGAGGCCTGTGAATTTGAGTTTGGGAATATCTCACCCTCAGACTTGAGTGCAGAGCACCTGGGGATCCTAGCTCAGATGGTCCATGTGAACAACCAAATTCAGATCTCACTTTCCGTTGGTTCTTCTTTGCAGTCATCTACCCCGCAGGAACCTGGCTCTCCTCCCAAGACTCCAACCTTGCCGAAACAACCTAAGAGTCCCAAGAAGAGCAAGGGGAAACAGAAGGAAACATCACCAGTCCCTAGCGTAGAAAATAGCATTGGGTTCAGCCCTCTGTCTGAGTCTCACACTGACCAGCTGCCCATGACGTCAACCCCGGCCGCTCACACTGGCGAGGTGATAGGATTCGACTTCAGCACCCTTGGCCAGTCAAAGAAGGCACTGCCCAGCGACTTGGAGGCTCTCGTTAACAAAATGGTCCCAATGGAAACGTCTACAAAGGTCACTGGCTCCGTCAACAAGGAGGCTGCTCCAGTTGAGTCAAACTCCGCTCGTCATCCGCCAGACCCAGTAACTCGAAAAAAGCAAGTCAGCTTGTTTATGCCCAAATCCCTCTCAAATCAGGTCCACCACAATCTTCCGTCAAAAACTCGGACGTTGGCTCAATTGGACCGTGAAATGAAAACGATGCAACTTCCAGACGCGGCAGCAATGGCTTTGATGAATGTGAAGGAACTCCAAAGGATGAAGGAATCTTGTAAGTGTCTATTCATTGGCAACAATCTGGTAGAAGAGCACACATCTGACTTGTCCCTGGAATTGCTCTGTAAACAGTAAAGAAGGTTGCCGACGCACAAGTACTTGCTTTCAAGGAAATGAAGAGTGCTAGTGGAATGGTAGCTTTCCCTGGGGTGCTAGACGGTTTGATGAAGAACGCTCGGTACATCACACGCTTCATGAACCATCTGGAGGATAAGGTATTAGAGGCATCACGCGACAGAAGGCAGGAAATTGAAGTCATTGAAATCTTGGACGGTGAGGATGACGAAGTGAGCATCATGCCACGTAGAAGGTTGGCTGCAGAACTCAAGGACTTCATGAGGCCGGGATTGGTTCCAATGCCATCACATCTCAATCCTCCAACAAAAAGATCCGGTAGGTTGATTTGGGTTATTGGGTCTCATGTTAAACCATTGATGGTCTGTTATAGCTGGTGCATGTGACAAGAGTTGCACCAAAGAATCCTTCAAGCAGTAATTTCCCAGAAAGTCTTTTGGAGCCACAGTCACATTCCACGAGTCAACATCAAAGTCATCCATCTCCTTTTTATGATGCACCTTAAAAAATCAACTTGCATTAATCAACGGCTATTTTATATGAACGATATCCTATATTACTCACTTCATGAGCACCACCCATTAAATTCACTCTTTGAGTCTCCATCTTTCGATCTGTCTAAAAGGCCACACACCATCAGTTGAATACAACTTGATCAATCTCATATTCTAAAGAGGCTTACTTTTACTTGGTTATTCGTTTAAAAATGCCCAAATAAAAATAAAACCATCATTAGTTTTCCCTTATAATGTTTGTTCTGCTTTATTAAAAGCTCAAAAAGTCTCAAAAGTTTCAAACGTCTTAGATTCTATGAAAGGACCATATATATGAATGTCATATGGGTTCAACAATACTTTTATAAGATATAACTATGTTGCCTTTCATTGAATCCCACTTGCACAGATATACTGTATATGGGGAGGAGTGCCTCCCCATATAGTATAGCAAGAGTGAAAATTTGGGTGGGCCAGGGTCAACTGTGGTCCACGTGGTGAATTAGTATTTTTTGCACTAAAGTCATAAAAAAATTAGCTCATCGGAAAGAGAAAAATTTAAGCATTGTTATAAGCTACTTTGCACTCCAACTTTCCCACGGGAACCCTTTCAAATACCTGGTCAAAGTTCATTTTATTCATATTTTGATTTTTCTTTTCAGAGTCATAATTTTTACAAAAAAAATATAAATATAATATCATTAGAAAGAGTAAAGTCCAAACTATTTTTTAAGCTACTTTGCATTACAACTTTCTCACGGGAAGACCTCTAAATATCTGGCCAAAGTTTTTTTTGGTCTTTGGGTCTTGGAGTCTCAATTCTCAGAATAAAAATGTAAAATTAATATGGTTGGGAAAAATAAAGTCCAAAATATTTTTGACGCTACTTTGGATTGCAACTTTCCCACGGGAAGACCTTCATATACCAGTTCAAAGATTTTTTTTGTCATCTGATGTGGGCGTCTAGTGTTTTCATCAGGCGTATGGGCGCCGAATGGTGTCTACCTGTCTACCTGGTATAGGGGAGAGGTAGACCAGGTAGACCATTGGTCATTGGGCCTTTGCCTGATATTTTGAAAATTATTTACTGAGGTAGACTTTGATCCAGCCCAGGTAGAAAAATAATCCAAAAAAAGTGGCTGGTTGATGTATCTAGACTGTGCAATTGTGATTTTGCATGATGTGTTGATGGATTCGGACTATTTCCATGATATGAACTGCAACCAGGTAGGAAGTCAAGCTGTACCAATACAGAAAATATTAATTCTCCATGATATGACAAGCAACCAATTAAAAGTTTAAGCCATAAAAATCACAAATGAGTCAGTAAGATGAAGTAGGAAATGGAATTAAATTCTACCTGGATAACTGATGCCTCCAGGCTGAAATTGATTTGTGAGAAAGGGGCTAGTAAGAGCATATAATTTGTAGAGTATCTGCCTATCTCGATAAGGAAAAGGAAAAATAAAGCAATGTGTTCAAAGGATGCCCCAAAAAAGCTACTGACCTAGTGGTGAATTACTTTGAGAAGGAGGTCAGAGTACCGATTTGGGCTCACTGGTTGAGCAGGCACCAAAATCACTGCAGCATTGGTGGAAAAAGAATACATGTCAATCTGAATTGGCCAAAAAAAGTGCAATGACCCAGAGGTGAAAGTATTTGAGAGGGAGGTTCCAGTGAAGTTTTGGGTGGGTTGTATGTGCTCCAGAAGGTGCACTCTCTCAATTCACCAATCAATTTATTTCCCCAGAAGTTCTTGGAACATGAACCGGTGTGTCCTCACCTGCCTTCTTCCACTGAGAGTTTCTTTCTTACCAATTATTTATTCTTGTGAGTTTCTCTCCTCAGTTAATTTTCTCTCTTTGGTGTCTCTTTGTCTGATTGTCTTGCTTCCTTTTTCTGGATAAATATTTATTAAAATTATACTGTACATGTCCTTGAATGATGAGTATGTTCCAAAAGCACTTTGGAATTAAGCAGCGAAAGTGACAAAAAAAGCCCATCGACCTAGAGGTGACAGGATTTGACAGGGAGGTCCAAGTTATTTTTGGCTGAGCTGCACTCCAGGAGGGACACTGTGGCATTTGAGGAAACAGGATGGGCCATAACTTTCCTACAAGTCATTGGCACAAGTGCGGCTGTGTAAGCTCAGTGAGTCACGTCATGCTTTCTTCTACATCTCTCTTTTGAATTTTTTATTGTGATGTGTTGAAATCATCAATTGACTGCCTCCCTATCTTATTAATTTCCATGATTGTCTTTATACATCATTAATATCCATGATTTTGATTCTGTGAATCCAACATACACCGTGAATATAGCTGTATGTCTTTCTTTCTAATACCTACCATTGATTTACTTTCTTACTTATCCTAAATCAAAATAAAACATATTAATTTATCCCCGTCAATCCTTGATCTGTGACTTCAAACATACAATGAATACAGTGTGCCAATCTTTCTCCTGATCTGCATTCCTAGATAATTAGTTGTAAAAGCAAAGGTGAATACTTGGACAAATCCCAAGCAAGTAATTTTTCCAACCTCGTTTAAGTACTTGTAAAATCACAGGCAACATTACTGTGTTCAATAATCGAGCTCATTCATAATCAATATCTACTAATTAATTGTTGATCTTGGAAATAGGTTCCCTTTGGGCCCCGTTGAGTTTTACTTCTATCAGAGAACTATGTTGCAATATTTGTACTTGTGCTGTCGGGTTTTGATGTTATCCCTCCTGTGGGATATACCCAGTTCATTGCATTGTCTTGCTCTTGGATCACTTGTGATTAATAACAGGCCAAAGAATTTGCATGAAGTATTTACTTCAGGGCAGTATTTGTCAGCCGGCAAGTAAAAACATTCTACCCCTTAGATAGTTTATTAGTTTTTACTACACCGTCTGCAGCCTCTCAAAGTTTAACATGCATTTCACTGGTTATTTTCCATTTCAATACTTTCATTTTCCTTGTTATTAGAATATCTTACATGCTTGTATCTAGTTACACTCAGATAGAGCTTATAAGTGGTACTTTCTGATTCTCTTGTTCCCCAGACTTTCAGAAGAGACGAAAATAATAACACCCTTTTATTTTAAATCATTCCTCTTCCATTTGAAGATACATCAACTTATCACTACTTCAAATTGGTCTGTTCCCTTCAAATCACTGCATCCCTGTCTGGAAATCCAAGCCTGAACTTCTCAAAAACTTATCAACGGCTGGGCGTGAACACCTTGGACCGTACTAGATTCTTTCTACGACTTGGAGCCACTGGTCAACACCAGTAAACTTCCATCAAGCAGATTCTAGTCACCTCAGAGTAACCCACCGCTGACAGTATTCTTTCCAGTAACTCATACATGATGCTTTCAATTTACCTTTTTCAGAAAGAGCAGAAAGGACCATTCATCACAATATAAATAGGATTAAGCAGTCACATAATCAGAGGAAGAATGGGTTAAACTTCCTGATTTATTGTTTTCCTTTAATTATTTTAACCCAGCCAATCCCTTGTCTGTTGCTTGGCAATGTATGTGAGTGGTTTTTCTTGTTGTCTTGGTTGTTGATTGTCCTTCTTTCTGATCTGTTATTGAAATGTATTTATTTGTTCCTGTTTCAGAAGTCATATTCTTGTAGACTTTTATAAAAGACAGTGAATATACATTAATTTGCAGTGTAGTGCTACTGCTAAAATCCACAGACAATAATTGATTGTAAAGACCAAGGTGAGTACTTGTGCAAACAACATTCAAGTGCTTTTAAAAATCACAGACAAGTACATGGGACTTAAACACAGACAAGTGGTTGTATAGACCACAGACAAGTGGTTGTACAAACCACACAAAAATACTTTGAAACCATCTAATTTATGACTCCCTGTATTCTGGTTGAATATTTAATGGACAAGAATATAATAGATATGATGTTTGTGTTTTATTTTTTTTTTCGTGTACTACATTATTTCAAAGGGGCATGTTGCCTGGGACTCTGTACCAGAAAGCAGTGTTTCTCTATTCATACATGGGAAGTCAGATTTTTGATGATCTCCCCATTCATTTTTTTTATTTTGATTTTTGTTTCACTTCTAATCAATGAGTCTCAACCTAAAGATTGGTTTGTTTGCTGATTAACGAGGTAGTTTGAATAATTACCATACAATATATACTTCAGCTCTGTTATCTTTGCAGTCATTTAGTAAAAAGACTAAACAAGACCAACTCAGCAAATATCTGATCAATAAGATCATTCAAATAATTTGCATATGATATTGACTTCAGGGCTGTTTTCTTTGCAGTTGTTTATACAGGATCCTTTCAATTTACCTCTATCATTTATTGAGAATATGATTTGCGCAGAATCCTTCTATCATGACTTCTATGATGATAATTAAAGCGCAAACATCATAATGTGCTCAAAGGATGCCCCAAAAAGCCATTGAACTAGTGGTGAATTGCTTTGAAAATAAAATCAGAGGAACTGTTTGGGCTCACTGGGTGAGTAATCACCAAAAGCACTGCAGAATTGGGGTTTAAAGAAGTGTAAAGCATAGGTAATTGTTTTGCATATCTGAAAATTCTGTGTGTTCATCTGAAGCGGCCCTGCAAGTATCCCTCCTCATTTAATTGTCTCTCCTTGTTGTCTTTTTCTCTGATTGTCTTTCCTTTGTATCCTTAATCAATGTGTATCAATTTAATGCTATCTGGTGAGGACTTTGCAAAAGAACTGTACAATTTTATTTCAACAGCCCATTGACCTGGAGGTGAAAGAATCTTACAAGGAGGTCCAAGGTTTTTTTTTGCTGAGTATGGACTACCCAACCGGCACTGTTGCATTTCAAGAAAAAATAAATTAAATAATACTCCTACAAAGCATGAGTTCAGTGGGTTGGGTCATATCATGCCTTCTTCCAATTGGCCTGTGTTTCT